TTTCTATGTATAATAAATAAATAAATAAATAAATAAAAATCACAATTCATATATATAAAAAATAATTATAACGGAAATGATCCAGAGCTCGAAACTCTACGGCTCGAAAAGCTAATTTTTTCCCCTTTTCAAGCAAAGGAGCTCTGCACAAACAGAGGAAGAGGAGAGGAGAAGAGAGGGAGAAGAAGAGGAAAGAAGAAGAGGAAAGAAGAGAAAGAGGAGGAGGCAGCACCACTGCCGTCGAGTCGCCTCGCCGGCCGTCGTCGTAGCACCACCTCCTCACCTCCTCGCTCATCGTCGCACCACCGCCTCGCCGATCGTCACGTCGCAGTCGCAGTCGCACCCCCTCTGTCCAGTTCGTCGCAGCAACTACCCGGCGCAGCCCCGCCTCCTCCTCCCAGCCCCATTTTTATGGCCCCACCTCCTTCCTCCTCTCTCCTCCCGATTTCTTCTCCACCTTCTTCTTCTCCCCTTCTTTTTCTTCTTCCTTTTCTTCTTCTTCTCCGTTCTCCTTCTCTGCAAACAACACAGGAAAAAAGAAAAAAGAAAAAAAAGAAAAAACGACACCAAAACCGTTCTCCTTCTCTGCAAACAACACAGGAAAAAAGAAAAAAGAAAAAAGAAAAAACGACACCAAAACGACATCGTTTTGGTGTCGAGCCAAATTCGTGCCAAAGAATTTCGAGTTACGTAGTGGGGTCGTAATTATAAATATAACCCGGTGGAACACTATTAGTATGATGAAGTGAATTGAACTGGCAATAGAATATTCAACATTGATGATGATGATGATGATAATGATGATGATGATGAAATGGGCTTTGGGTTGTGTTTGTGCCATAAGTGAAATCACATTTATGCAAAGGAGGGTGAGAGGTTGATGTCATGACAGAGCTGCGTGTGTGTACCTAATTGTACAAAACTATAGGGATGGTAGTGGGAAAGAATTCATGAGTTTTAGTGCAATTGTTGAATAGATGAGGAAGAAAGGTAGGGTTGGGGTTGAGGATGTGCAGTCAACTACATTGGATTCCCTCTATAATGTCTTTTCCTTTCTAAAACGACAAAAGCATCTTCAAATGCATAAAGTTGGGATTGGGGTATTTGGTAGGGTTGATTTATGATTTGTATGATTTATTTTTGTAAAGTTTACTGAACAGGTTATCAACATAAAAAATAAGTTGATAAGATATCGTTAATTACATTATCATATTATATTTATTTTAATAAATTGGAAAGTCTATTATCAAAATCGCATTTGTCATCTAATTTTTTTAAGACAAATGTGATTCGATCACGTGATTGTTGATATTCAATCTTTGTTTGGGAAGAACTAAAATAACCTTACTTTTTGATTTTTTAACTTTTTTAGCCTAATTTTTTTAACCTCGTTTGGTTTTTGTTTTTGACTTTTTTGAATTTTGTGAGAAAAAAATATAATGATTATGGTTTAGATGTGACATTTTGTCTTATTGACTTATGTAGCCAAAAAGTCAAAACCAAACATAGCTTATCAATTTGATTTTTACATAAATAATCTGTTTGATGTGTTTAATAAGATAAATGACTTAGATCACCACAATAGATCCAGAGTAGGACACAAATCCCATAAAATTACATATATAGAGTTTGTTTAAAAATTTATCCAAAAAAATACACTGCATATTAGATTTAACTCAATTAAAATGAATTTGTACTGTACATTAATTTTTGTGAATAATTTTTTAAACTTTCGAATTGATAAAAATTGTTAAATGGGAAGAGATAATCGGTGTGTTTGATTTCAGTTTTCTGAAATTAATTTTTTTAAAAATTAATTTTTTAATTTTTCGTGTTTTTTTTGTTTTTAGTGAATATTTTTAAATTTTAAGTATTTTTTTTTTTACTTTTTTAGATACACCTTACTTAAATGTAACTAAATAATAAAATATTTGTGAAAAAATATTTTAAAAAATTAATAAATACACAAAAATATAAAAAATGTATCGAATTTTTATATTTTTTGTTTTGGTATTTTTGATATTTAGTAAATTTTTTGAAGATTTTTTTCTCAAATATTTTACTTTTTAAGTATATTTATATTAAGTGTGTCTAAAAATTTAAAAATTTATTTAAAATATTAAAAAATTTAATAAATATAAAAAAATATGAAAAATATAAAAATAAATTTTAAAAATTGTAACCAAATGGAGTGAATAGCTACCCTTCTCTCCATTCAAACACACCCAAGTGATAGAAAGGAACAATTATTTTCCACTCATTTGGGTACCCAACCACGTAAAGTGAGTGTCTTCATTAGGATTATGGTCAATTTGGTCCAAGTTTGACTCTCTTTTGGCTCCAACTGTCCTATTTGAGAGAGAGAAAGAGAAAGGTATTAGGTAGGCACCTTCTTCAAGTTTTGTTTGGCATGCATGGAGTAGTATAGTCAATTTTTTTTTTGTATTGAAACTTTTTTAGCCTAATTTTTTTAGTCATGTTTGGTTTGAATTTTTTTGATTTTTGTGAGAGAAAAAGTGTAATAATTATAGACTGAATGTGATATTTTGTCTTATTAATTTATTTAATTTATTTTGTCATTTTATACATTTTTTGCCCAAAAATAATAGTCAAACCAGGGCTTAGTTGATTGGCAACAAGTTTAAAGGAGAAAAGGGATAGAGAAGGTGAAAAATGGGGTCAAGAATTATAAATATGCTGGAATTTTTTTTTTTGAGTGCTAGTTTGATTTGTGTTGAGCCTAAGTTCAGAAGCAAATATAAATTAGATTTACTATTGCACCATATATAAGAGTCTTAAGAATTAAATTTTTTTATTTTTAAAATTAAAAAATTTGTTACAAGAAATATTTGAGATTCAATTTCTGTTGTCGTAAAGATAATCATTAAAAAATTATTTCAAAAAGTTAAAAAAAGATTTATCGACAAAATTTAAAATAACTGATTTGATTATATAAACCAATAATTAAAGAGTTATTTAGGAAGTGCTAATTTACTTAAATTTATTACAAATTAGAAATTAATAATTAAAAAATAAAATTTATAAACACATTTTTAAAAATTTTTTACAAATAATTAATTAATTAAAAATATTTTTATTTAATAAATAATAAACAAAAATTGTACTAATCAATTTGAGATAAATTCTCAAATTAAAATAAATTATAAACAATTAATTTAATAATAATAAATTATAAAATTTCATGCTTTTGAAATGTTGATTGGTTGGGACTGTCTCTCTTTGTCTTGACTATACAGAAAGAGATATCATATGTAATGAGTGTTGTAGAGTCAAATAAATCAAAACCTAATTCGTGTAATAAAAAGAAAAAAACTAAAAAAAAAGGTGGACACATACATAATTTCAATCAACAAAGATCTCACGAGGAGCCAATTACATCACTCATCTCGAGTTTATCCCTCCAGATTCTCACCTCTTTTTTTTATTATGTTTTTTCATTTTTTAAAATAAATTATACTTTACCCATTTAAATTTCATGATTTTCCCATTTTGATTCATAAATTATTATTACTTTTACTTTAATTCTAATATTTGTAGTTTTTCCAAATTTAGTGAAAAAAAGAAAGGCGCTAATTATTTTTATATGATTTTTTTGGAGCAAAAATATATTTTTTAAAAAAATTTAAAGGCCAAAATAAAATATTTCTAAAAATGTAAGGGAGTAAAGTGTAATTTACTCTTATTTTATCTACATGAACCTATAGATATAATCATATAGGTGTCTAAATTGTAGTCTATCTATAATTGCAATCATATGATGTTATTTTGGGTAAAGCGCTTCTTTTTTGCATATTATGGGGCCATTTAGTAATATGGGTTAAAGTTAAAAGTAAGTTTTTAATTCATTTTCAATCACATCACTTCTCGCATAAAATAGTAAAAAAAGTTAAAAAAATTAAAAAGTCAACTTTTAATCATTTTTCTAAAACATTCCCATGAAAAGAAATGTAAAAAAATAAAGAGATAATGGGATGAAAATAAGCCAATAAGCTAATAAGAAGCTTATATTTGTATAGTTTTAAAATTATATTGATCATCTTTTCTTTTTTAATAAAATAAAATATTACATTTAAATCATAATCATTATACTTTTTTTCTCATAAAAGTCAAAAAAATCAAACCAATCAACACTAAAAGAGTCCCAATACAAAAAAACTAGTTAAAAAAATTAATGCCAAACGAAGACTAAGAAGCCCAGGGAATGTAGGATTCACACATGCCATAGAAGAAGTTTTAGCAAACCAAAGCAAAGTCTAACACCCATGCATTCTCGGTCTGCTTCTCTACGTCAAGAAATGTACATACATAGATATATGCACACAACACAGAGGGCTTGACTACAAACTGTCTGACCCACAAGAGATTTTTTTGATTAATAATTAACTATTCCAGTGCTTAACAGCCCAGCACTTGAGTTTGCTTTTCATTTTTTTTTATTCAAGGGAATAAGCATAGAAAATTCTCTACGAACCCCTTTTTACTAAACCAATGAATAATTGAAGGAATTTTCTTCTATCTATCATTAAAAAAAAAATAGTAAGTATACATACAACATATAAATTTGATGAGATTTTTGAGAAGTAGACTTTACTAATAAATTTTATAAATTCTTGTCTATTTATATGATTTTTATATTAAATTTTGTATTTGGTTTTTGTGTCTCTATAATTTTTGGAAAAAAAAAGATTTATCATTAGTATTTTTTGATGATGCAAGTTTCAAGTCACCAAAACAATTTGCCCTTCTCAAATCCCCCCGCTTTAACGTACTAAGTCACATTTTTTATGATATTTTGAATAAACAATGATATAATTTTTTTTTTCTTTTTCTATAATGATGTGGCCTCACACAATCTTTTCATTTTCAATCAAAACATCCACAATTTTGACTGATAATTTTAAAAATTTCACTATCACATCATCTTGGATGATTTTTTTTTGTTGTTGTTGGCATAAAAACTCTATTTCTAAATCACTTTATCCTTGTGAATATATCTTGATTATTAGTTTGGGTTAGCTATATATTCTTTTCTTCACATTGCTGAACAAGTGTCAGGCTTGTTAGTCTTCACTTTTGCTACCAAAACCTACTGGTTTTTCTTGTTGAGCCAGACAAAAGCAGTGAGTGAGTGCACTATTGGCATGTAATATACATTGTCCACATATATTATTACATAACACAAAGAGAAACCCTTTTGAAATTGTTTGTTTTGAATCCATCAAAACGACTCCTCACCTGCTTCTTCCATTGCCAAAGATTGTTCTGGTTTTGAAACTCCTTAACTCTTAATGGAAACAAGAAGAGAAAATGCTGTTTTATGTTGTGTGGCTTTGTTCAGCTTCTGGGCCTCATCAAGTGCTTTGCTTTCTCCCAAAGGTGTCAACTTTGAAGGTAAGTGATTTTTAATTTTTAATTTGTTTATCCTTTTGATCCTCCAAGAAGTGAGACATGAAAAGCTCGTTTGGAACAATGTTTCTGGTAACTGTTTTTGGAAAAATTTCTGAAAACACCCATTTTTGAGGAAATACTTTTAAGAAGTTCTTTAAATTTTTAAAAACTATTTTTGCACAAAGATGGAAATGATGGGTGTTTTCGAGCTTTCATTGAAAACAAAAAATATCCAAAATGAAAATGATACCCAATTGAAAAACTTGTTTGGCAAAATGTTTCCGAATTTTTTTCTAAAAGCACCCATTTTTGGAGGAAACACTCTTTAGTTGTTTGAAAATTTTTGAAAACTATTTGTACACAGAGATAAAAAACTTTACATTGTTTTGTTTCATTAAAAATGAAAAATGATACCAAATTGACTAGAAGTTTTTTTTTTTTTCTTTTCTTTTCTCTCTCTCTCTTAAAGTAATATTTTCTTTTTTGTATTTTTTAAATCAGTGCAAGCTTTGATGGGTATCAAAGCTTCTTTGGAAGATCCTCATGGTGTGCTAGATAATTGGGATAGTGATGCAGCTGATCCATGTAGCTGGGATATGGTCACTTGTTCAGATGATAAGCTTGTTATTGGCCTGTAAGTTCACAAAAATAACACCCCCTTTCATTGTCTAGTGAAGTTGTGACATAAAAGAAACATACAAATATAGAAGATTTTCACATAATGGAACAGTCTCTCACATCTGTATTCCATTCTGTGAAAATTCTTTGTACAGTTAGATTTACTCTACAGGGAAAATTCATAATAAACTTGAAATGTAGTGACTTGAGTTTCTGAAAAAGTTGAAATTGATCATGATGCAGAGGAACTCCAAGCCAGAACCTATCCGGTATTCTTTCGCCGAACATTGGGAACTTGATAAATCTCCAGATTGTGTGAGTACCTGAAAAGGGGCCGAGGATTCTCTGTTCCCCTATCTCCAAACATATGTGAAAATCTCGAGATACGGAAATTTTGAGACATGATTCAATGATTGTGAGTATTTTGAAATAGGAGACAGAGATCACGTGCCCCCAAAAGAAAAGAACAGAGTGATTTCAATTTATGCATTTACGTATGCTTTTTAATGGTCAATATGTTTTGCAGGCTCTTGCAGAATAACAACATATCTGGGCGAATTCCTCCTGAGCTTGGGAGGCTACCAAAGCTACAAACACTTGATCTTTCTAACAACTTCTTCACCGGTGAAATTCCCCCTTTTCTAGCCCACCTGAAAAGCCTCCAATACTTGTAAGCATCAAACCAAGCACACTCATAAATTCAACCATTGTGAATTTCTTTTTCCTTTGTTTTTTTTTTTGGTTGATAGTATTGGGTATTTTATTTTATGAGGGTATTCGGGGATTTGCCCCGACTAGTCCCCCGGGTATTTGTAATCCGACAAAATAACCATTCTATTAAAATGAACCAAACACTACATTAAGGCTATGTAAATTGTTGAGTTAGGGAAGAATTCCTCTAATTTCTATGATTCTTATAGTGGTTTTCTTGAATCGTGAGCAGGAGGTTAAACAATAACAGCCTCTCAGGAGCAATTCCTTCACCTTTGGCTAACATGACTCAGCTAGCATTCTTGCAAGTCCTTCAACCTTTTCCAATAACTGCATATTTTCTAATTTCTAATGAAACTACATTTGAAAAACAAAAAAACAAAAAAATGAAAGAATTTTGTTTTTGAAAAATGTTGGCTGTGTGCTTTGTTCATGTTCCAGGGACTTGTCTTTCAACAATTTCAGTGCTCCTGTGCCAAGGCTTCTTGCCAAAACATTCAAGTAAGTTTATTTTTTTGGAGATACTTTTATAAATTGCTTCTCAAATTCAATATCTAAACACGGGCTTAAAGAAAAAACTGCCATCGTTGATTATTTTCTTTCATTGACATAGCCTTCTCGGAAACCAGATGATATGTGCAACGGGGAAAGAGCAAGACTGCAATGGAACAACAGCGATGCCACTTTCCTACTCCTTCAATAATGCACATAGTAAGAAAATTGGAACTACCTCAGGGTCTTGTGTATTCCAATTCTGTTCAATTTTTTTATTTTTTATTCTTTTTAAACTAATATTTTGAATTTTAATGGGGCAAAGGGGTGGACACAGCCCAGTGGCCCGCCCAGCCCTTCAAACCCAACCAATCAGTTTTAAGGGCTTGAAATATAGATATATATATTTTTGAGAATATGAAAAATAATTATATTAAAATAAAATAACCAAAATAAGAAAAATAATAAGATTATAGGATGAAGCACAAATAAATTTCAAAATATGATCTTGTGAACTGTTAAGTCTTCTATTTTTTTTTATGAACCAAAAAAGTCCTATTAAAGTGGAAATTAAACAAAAGAGTGGTTACTTATATGTTTCAGTTTAATTTTTTAGAGATAAAAGTGAGTTTCTTCAAATATGAAATTATATATTTGGGTAATCCGCACTATAGAGGTTTTAGATTTTTCCACTTTTTGAAACAAATCCCACATTACGAAAAAAGAATGTAACACTCTAATATAACGAATAAGAATATAACACTCTAATATAACACACTAAAGAATTTCTTAGTGTATTTTTTCCAAACATAATAACATAACATTCCAAACTCTTTTCAAACTTAACACTCCAATGTAACACACAAAAAACTCTTTAATATAATTTTCCCAAATATAACACTCCAATCAATGTAATCCCAAACGTAACACTCTAATATAACACACACAAAAAAACTCTTTAGTGTACTTTTTTCAAACGTAACATTCTAATCAATGTAATCTCAAACGTAATACTCTAATGTAACACAAAAAACATTAAAAAACTCCTTAGTGTATTTTTTCCAAGCATAACACTCATAGTTTGAAATTATACATTTGTCCAAAACTTATTACGGAAACCTACATCTTTCTTTTTGGAGTGTTACATTTGGAAAAAGTGCATTAACGAGTTTTTTTGAGTGTTACATTGGAGTGTTACACTAAGTATTTTTTTTTTTTTGAGTGTTCCGTTTGAAAAAAGTGTACTAAAGAGTTTCTTTGAAGTCTTACATTGGAGTGTTACATTAAATAATTTTTTTTAGTGTTACATTTGAGTGTTATGTGTCAAAAAAGTATACTAACGAGTTTTTTTTGAAGTTTTACATTTGAGTGTTACATTTGGAAAAAGTATATCAATGAGTTTTTTTTAGTATTACACTTACATTCGAATGTTACATTAAAGAGTTTTTTTTAGAGTATTTCATTTAAGTGTTACGTTTGGAAAAAATATATTAAGAATTTTTTTTTAGAGTGATACATTGGAGTGTTATGTTTGAATATTACATTAGCGTGTTACAGTTTAAATTATACGTTTGTCCAAAATTTACTAATGAGTTTTTATATTCTTTTTAAAATGTTTGAAAAATCTCACATTTCAAGTCATTCCAAATAAAAAAGATTTTCATATTAAAATTAATTCTAAATTTAATTTTCATAGATGGTGTATCTTACTTTTCTAGCATAAAAAGAAAAAGAAAATAAAAAAAATAAGGGTATTATCATAAAATTAATTTCTAAATAATATATTAAATCTCATTTTCTAAAATCAATAAGACTAATTAGTCTATAAAAACACTCTTAAGACTAGAATTACTATTTTTGAAGATGAGATTTATAAGTAAATTTTCCAATATTCTAAAAGATCAACCAAACAATAAACAAACAAACAATAACAAAATTTGTCAAAAAAATCAATTATGAATTAGAAAAAACTATCCATCTTCTCAGAGATCTACTCTTCTATTAAATGAAATAATCTTGAAAATAGTCATTGAAATTCAGTCCGGCCGATTGATTATTACATATTACATAATATATATAAAAATATTTTCTACCGGCCGATTGATTATTACATATTACATAATATATATAAAAATATTTTCTATGGATTTTCTTATCATGGGAAAGTCAAGAAAAAATTATTATAACTATTGGTAAAAAAATATATAAATTTCAGAATTTCTTAGTAGGAAATTTTGGAAATATATAAAATCATTTTGTTACGTGACAAATTTACACATTTTATTTTATAATTAATGTTATAAAATTTTGTGATAAAACTACACATTTGCGGTGGGCAACATTTTCCATGTTCTGAGTTTTCAAAAACCCATTTACCATTCTCTGATTTGTGGTTGTGTTTGGCTTTATTTTAGACTCTGAAACTTCTAGAAGGCTAAATGATAAAAAAATAGCCTTAGCAATTGGAACAAGCCTTGGGAGTGTCTGCATACTAATTCTAGGGTTTGGGTTTCTTCTCTGGTGGAGACGACGACACAACCAACAAATGTTCTTCAATGTTAACGGTTAGTACAAATGTGTTTTTTTAATATTTCACATAATTATAATTGGGTTCTTTTACATTTCAACTAAGACATTTCTCTTGAAAAAAAAATATCCATTGTAATTTCAATTAAAATTTCCTTAATGTGAATATTTCAATTCATTAATTTAAATCAAAGCTACATTATTTAAATATATTAAAAATAAAAATGAAAACGAGATTGTGCATAGATATAAATAGGTTTATGCATAGATGTGATTTTTATCTCGGTGATGCTATATGCACCAATAAGTGTACTAGTGTATCAACTAGTGTTATAATATTATTGTTGATCATATTTATTATACAAGTTACAAATACTTAAAACTTTACAAATGATGTAACTTCATCTCTTAGTACACTAGTGTGACATTAATTGATACATATAGTATTATTCTTTTTATCTTTATATTTAATTTATTGTGATTGGTTTGTGTAGAATTAACTCTCACTCACTCAATTTTTTTTCCACATGACATGGTTGTAGTTGTAATTAATGATAATTAAGCTCTAAAATAAAAAGGCATATGATATCTATCCTCTTTTAGTCATTGTCCATCTAAATAAAAAGGTGAAAAAGTCCAATCATTTTTATTCTTTTCTTTTAAACGATCCAAAAACCGAGTGTAATTATATTAGTATAGACGTAATTTAAAAAAAAGAAAAAAAATCAACTAATCAAATGTGTAGTATAAAATAAGACTATGCTAATTTTTGTGTCAAATTTAGGACAAGAAATAACATTTGCTATTTCAACACAATATATAGTGCAATTTAGAGTGAATTTTTAATTCTAGCACTGATACATCGTAAATAACATTATTTTGGAGATAATCTTAATTCATGAATGCACCAACAATTTGATTTGACAAATCCTATGTACTCTGTGTAATTCAATAATTTTTCCTGATTCACAAAACAAACTGTTTCCTTAAAATTTCAGAGCAACATCATGGAGAAGTATTGCTTGGAAACTTGAAGAGGTTCCAATTCAGAGAACTTCAAATTGCCACAAACAACTTTAGCAGCAAGAACATAATTGGGAAGGGTGGTTTTGGGAATGTGTACAAAGGGTACATCCAAGATGGGACTGTTGTCGCCGTAAAAAGGCTCAAAGATGGAAATGCTGTTGGTGGGGAGATCCAATTTCAAACTGAAGTCGAGATGATCAGCCTTGCAGTTCACCGGAACCTCCTCAGGCTCTATGGGTTTTGTATGACTGCAACAGAAAGGCTTCTGGTTTATCCCTACATGTCCAATGGGAGCGTTGCTTCGCGCCTCAAAGGTAAAAAGAACCATCAAGATTGCTATTTAATAATTCTCTTCAAGTGCATTGGAACAGAGTGCTGAAAAATTAGACGACATAGAATCCCGTGCCTTTCTTCAATTGTTTTTGAAAAATTCTACGGTTACAAAATGTACCGAATGCACATATGTGACTCAAAATGTTTGCAACTATAGATGTAAACATTTTGAGTCACATTTTGTATATCATTTTGTGAAATTCTTTGTGTGTGTATGGCATAGCTGATTGTTTTTTTTTTTTCTAGTTTTAGTTGTTCTTTGAACTTTTTCCCAATTGAAAGTTGCTTTTCTTTTTCTTTCTCAAATTCTTTGACTTGCTAATGTGACTATATTAGGTTTTAAATATTGAACGATTGTAGACTTTTGAAATTGATAGTTTCCATATATTGGTTGATATTATCCCATATCAGTCGATATATGACCATATCACCAATACTGATATGTATCTTGATACTGTTATTTAAAACAATGACCTATATCTTGTTTGTGCAAACAAAAAATTTAGGTACTCCATTAGATTCATAGTTTTCATCTCCTTTCAGCCAAACCAGCCTTGGATTGGGGTACTAGAAAAAGCATTGCCTTGGGTGCTGCAAGGGGTTTGCTATACCTGCATGAGCAATGCGACCCCAAGATCATTCACCGCGATGTCAAGGCTGCAAATATATTGCTTGATGAGTACTGTGAGCCAGTGGTAGGAGATTTTGGATGGGCAAAGCTTTTGGATCACCAGGATTCACACATTACGACAGCTGTTAGAGGAACTGTGGGGCATATAGCTCCAGAGTACCTCTCGACAGGCCAGTCGTCAGAGAAAACAGACGTTTTCGGGTTTGGAATTCTTCTACTTGAATTGATCACGGGTCAAAGAGCACTTGAGCTTGGGAAAACAGCAAACCAGAAAGGCGCTATGCTTGATTGGGTGAGGAACACATAAATGTTTTAGATGAATTCTTTTGAACTGTAAATAGTTTTGTTGTATTTTATTTTGCATCAGATATTTTGTTGTTGCAGATAGTATTTTTTATTTATTTTTTTTTTTTTGAGGGGGGGACAAAAGAGACGACACAAAAAAGTTGGATGCAAAAAGAGACGACACAAAAAAGTTGGATGCAAAAAGCCCTTTTTCTAGTAGTGATTTGCATTGTTTGCCCTTTTTTGTGACAATTTATCCCGCCAACACTGAAAAGTACTAATTGTGACAACAAGGGAACTTACGCAAAAAGCCCTTTTCCTAGTAGTGTCATTAGCGTTGAATTAATGGCTATGATTGCAGGTTACAAAAATTCATCAAGAAAAGAAACTTGATACATTGGTTGACAAGGATCTGGAAAACAACTATGATAGAATTGAGCTCGAAGAAATGGTAAGAGTGGCTCTCCTATGTACCCAGTATCTTTCAAGTCATAGGCCCAAAATGTCTGAAGTAGTTCGAATGCTTGAGGGAGATGGGCTTGTGGAGAAATGGGAAGCTTCCCAGAGAGCCGAGGCAATGAGGAGTAGAGCAAATGAATTATCTTCTTCAGAGCGATACTCTGATCTAACCGATGACTCCTCGTTGCTTGTCCAAGCAATGGAGCTCTCAGGACCACGGTAAGAAATTTCTCGAAGAGAAAGAAAGAAGTCAAATAAGCATAAAAAGAAATTTTGATTGCAAGACTTTGTGTTGCAATGTGTTTGTTGTATAGTAGAAGCTGATTTGAGATACTGACATGTGTTTACTAGTCTTTTTTTTGTGTTGATGAGTGAAGTTTTTTTTTTTTCCCCCAAGTTTGTAAGAATAATGTATGAGTTCAAGAACTGACTTGCTTTTTCTGTAAAATACAGAAGAATTTCAAAGTGAATTGTCAAAGACCCCATTACCTTCTGTGAGTCTAGTTTGGTGCTGAGGGTATTGTTAATAGCATCATAGGCAGGTATGGTGGATCTCTTACTTTGTTTGGATTGAAAGTTGTCTCTCATCAGAAAAATTTGAAGCCTAACACTATTTGTTTTGCTGAAACACGCTTTCTGTTGAACTTTTTTTTTTTTTTTTTTTTTTTTTTTTTTTTTTTTTTTTTTTTTTTTTTTTTAAGTAGTTTGAAGGTCATTTTTAAAAGGAGAATGTTTTTGGTAGAAAAATATTTTTTTGCCGAAATAAACAGTGCAAGTGAAACTGATTAGTGTAATTTGAAGTGGCCTCCAAAAAGTAACAATACATAAACAGAAAAATTATACAAAAAGTGAAATGATATATATTTGTATTTATCCATTTCCAACTAAATCAAAAGAGCATTAGAATGACTTATTATTTCAAAAATATTTGTCGCATTGTTCATGTTAAGTTTTCCATTTATTTTCCGTCACAAAAATGAGAAGGATTTGCAGGAAGCTTAGATTCTTCAACGGTTCAACTATGCACTGCCAAAATTGTATTTTTCATTCAGAAATCATAGATGGTAAACAATGTCTAAAATTACATAAACTTACACACGAATCACAATTCATGGCAAACAATGCCAAAGTTGTATAGTATCCCAAGGCCCCGTTTGTTTGGAGTTATACGGAGGGGATTGGGATTACTAATCCTTTGGTATTACTAATGGGGTGTTTGTTTTGAGAGATGGGTAGGGGACTATTAATCCCTTAGTATTAGTAGTCGCTTTGGAAGGTGGATTGGTAAGGAGGAAATAGAGATGACATTAGAAAAATAGTGAGGGGATTAGAAATTTTTTTATTTTTTATATATTGAGAATTTTTTTTAAAATATTAATGTTTAATTTTTTATATTTTTTTATTTGTTTTATTATTTTATATAAAAATAATTTAACAATTCTTCACTATTAATCCCCTCACTAACAATCCTCTCACTATGAATCCTCCCACTATGAATCCTCTCCATTCTATCTCTGAAAACAAACGGGGCCTTCAAGCTTTTAAAATCAGGAAAATTTAATCCAAAAAAGTAGAAAGTTGCAGCAACCAACCTCCGTTTGTTAGGGTAAAAAATAATATTTTTTTTGTGCATATATTGGCATTAAATATAACAAAAAATGAAAGTCTAACAGGAAATAATTTCAATGTAAAACAAACCTATTTAGGTAAAAATATTTTCCACTTTGACAAATATGGAAAATATTTTATGGACTAAACTCTTATCAATGTCACTACACCACTATCAGTACTCACTACACCGCCACTACCTCCAACCCACCTCCATCCTGCCACCACCACCTCCAACCCTCCACCACCACTAATACAACAATTAATACATTAATTTCAAGCATGCAACCAAATATATACACATAAAAGTTATTTTCGATAAATATTTTCAGCCAAAACAAATGGAACAAATGGAGCTTAAGGGAATTTAAGAGGAGGATAAACTCTGTGAAGTATGTAGATCACATTGTCAATGCCAAGTTCCTGCCTAATTGATTACCTGAAATGAGGAACATGGAATGTGATGGGGGAGAACTTGATATAAAGTTAAAAATATCACCTAAATTCAATCACAAACATCATTGCCAAATTTCACATAATTTAAACAGTTGAAGAATTTTTCATTTTTCCTAAAAGGAGATCATTCTTTCGCCATCAGGCTGTTCCACTTTCCCTCAGTGAATGTCAATAGCAGTAATTATTTTTAAACATGGACCTATCAGACAACAATACAAAAAAGATCATCTCTCTGTCACACTCAAACCAAAGATGGCCAAAATGGACACAAACCATTTGCTGAACTTGATCTTCATCTTTATATTCGAATTCGATTTCTGCTTGAGGTGACAAGTGTGGAACTCGTGTCACCTCATTCAAAATTCTCAGTCCTTCATCAGCAACCTTCTCTGTGTCTGTTTGAATAAACATTGTCTCCAGCACTGGCAATATAGCTAATAGAAGCTTAATAAACTTCAATTAAGACTGTGTGCCATATAGACCCCCCAACTGCACTACTTGAAGTTGATTTAACGAGACACCTGACCAGTCTTTCATTTCTAGAAGCTCCAGAACAGGATCAATAACATCAGCAGTTTCAGTACTTGATGCCTGGAAAGAAGAAAAGGGAATTGTGTCTCAGCCTAAAGATTCAAAATATACATTATAAACATAGGAAATAATAATATCTGTTGTTGCTTACCACAACTGTAATTTTTTCCAGGTTTGGAGAGCTTCTGATTAAAGAAGTTGATTTAAAGAGACATCTGACCAGTCTTGCATTTCTAGAAGTTGTAGAACATGATCAATAACATCAGCAGTTTCAGACCTTCGTACCTGGAAAGAAGAAAATGGAATTGTGTCTCAGCCTAAAGATTCAAAATATACATTATAAACATAGGAAATAATAATATATGTTGTTGCTTACCACAATTGTAATTTTTTCCAGGTTTGGAGAGCTTCTGATTAAACAAAGAATAACTGAGATCTCATTTACTTTTTCAAAACAAACAAAAAACAACTTGAGAGTTTTAAGGTTGTTCAAAGAAGTTGGAAGCCTCTTTGGTACACCACCTGCAGACATGTACTAGAAGCAAAAGAAGAAGAAAAAAAAAGATCAAAGAAACATGGGTTAACTTACTTATAACATCCTGCCAAACAGCAACAGCAAAAGAAAAAAAGAAGTGGTTTACTAAGCTAATCATACCCGAACAGTATCATACTCCAATTGCAGAAACTCAATGACAGGTAGACTACCAAAAAGCGTGACCAATTTGGAAGTTTCTGCCTGCGTAATTACATCCACATTCATGAAGTCCTTTAAACAAATAAAAACCGTTTCAAGTCGAGCAGTATTTTTTAAACAAATAGAACAGGCATGGATTTCACAGCATAAGAATCTAAGATTAGGAGGGTTAATTTCAAGGGAATCTAAACTGCCGGAGCTTTTAAGTGACAGATTCTCAAGTAGTGGGCAATTGGAGATTAAACTTGAAAGTATGTCGGCAGTAACAACAACTTCGTAAAGCACCAGTTCAAGGAGCCTGCTAAATCCTTTAACTTCAGGTGGAGATTTAAATACACAAGAACGAAGCCTCAAACACCTAAGTTGTTCACATGAAAATAATGATGACAGAAATTTATAAGGGTCACCCTTCCGAATCAGAAGGGCGAATTCCTAGATACCATTGTTTGAAAGGAAAAGTATCAGCTGATTGATCTCCGGGCAACTTTCCAGTCTAGATAAATTGAGTATGAACTTGGGTATTGGTCCACGATGAAGTAATAAAACTTGATAAATAGTCATTATAAGTTCAGTCTTGGTTTTTCTAGTTGATTCTCTGCAGAAGTTATCATCAAATACAAGTCGGGGAAGTTTTGTTCAGATATACCTCAATTTCTTTGACAAAACACTAGTCCTCACCGCTTCCTGTATTGGCAAACACACTAAGATTGTTTCTTTTACACTTTGTGGAAGATTACTGATTATGTCTGAAGTTGATCCACGCATTTCCTTCATGTTTCTCTCCATGTTTCTAATTGTTCTGACAATCAGCAAGCTTAACCAAATTGAAGTAAGTACCAAGCTCTCCAAGGTAATGTTTTTATTGCATTTCTCGGCACAAAATAAAAGAGCAATAAGGAATAACTCATTATCACATCTCCTGTTACAACATTCTATTAACCCAAATTTGCAGTAATGGAAAGAAAAAAGAGAACCACCAGAGAAAAATTTCCCAAATAACACAACTCTTAAAAATTAATCTAATCAGTAACATTTGGATGGAACAAATGCACACAACTTGTAGACAAGAATCAGGAATTTAGCTGCCACAAGCTTACCATTGGTTGATAGTGTGGAGTCTGTGAGATAGTAACTAGAATAGGAAGTAGAAAACAATTGATGGAGTCATTTTTTAGAGGAAAAAACAATTTTCGGAGTGTCGTTGCCTACAAAATAATGTTTAAACATTTTCATAATTTATGTATGTAAATAGATATTTTAGTTAAATGAATTAAGAGAGAGATGTGATTATTGAGTTTAAACTAGAGAGGTATGACTTTTGGGTTTAAATCAAGAGTTAAGAGGACTGTTAGATTTAAACAAAAAAGTATGACCTACCAACAAGTTGATTCTTTATTGCATTAGCTATTAATGATAGATATTATAACTATAATAATGTCCTTGGACATGAAAATTAGATGAATCTGACAGAGAGTCGATGTAACATGAGTCAATTCTCTTCACGAAATCAGTGAGCAAACCAAACTAAACCTTGCGTCCAAATCAAGTGGGATCAATATGAACATTTTATGCCATTTCACTCTAGGAAAGGTTATACGCTTAATTAAATAAAATAAATATAAATCATTTTTTCTACCATATCTTATATCAATTTAGGTCTTCTCCTTCTTCTAACATTTCCATTTATAGTGATCGTATTTGATGATGCAGTTCGCCCTGGGTGGATGGGTCGGGCTGGTCCAAGCTCTTTAAGTTCCGATTCAAGCGAGTGATCCCACCAGATGACCTGCAAGCAAGTCCAAAGGGGAACGGGGTAGTCCCCCAGTGAACCCTCCGGCGAGCGAATCCGTAGAGGAAGAAGGAAATAGAGAGAGAGAGAGAGATAGAAAAGCTTAACCTTCCTCTTGTCTTCGATTCTTGCTTATATCCTTTGGTAATCATTTCACTGTCCCTTGTGAAGTGCCCCCTTCCGCCGAAAGCCTGTGCCGTAGCTTACCTTGTTCAGGGTGAGGGGGCTCTGTTCCGACGGGGAGGTGTTGTCGTAATAAATGCTGTGATGGGCTACATTAATGGTGATGTGTTGTGGCAATAACTCTGCAGATCTTTGTCTGCTGATGTGGGCTGTGTTTCACCTGCCATGTGCCCGAATGTCATTGGCCCTCCATGGCCAGATGGCCTCCAGCTGTCCTGGGCTTTGCCAACCGGGTTATGCTATGGGTCCCAAGCGATAGGTTTGGGGTTGTTTGCTGTGGGCTGTAAGCCTTATGAGCCTATCCATGTCAGTAGTCCCCCATTTCCGAGTGCAGCTTTAGTCCAACGAAGGGAATAGTAATAAGGAAAAGAAGTGCGAACTGGGTGGAGAGGCCGACCATTAAGTGTGCCAACCGTGAGGGTGGTTGAGCGGGAGGAGCTGACCGTGAGGGTGGCCGAGCGGGAGGGGTCGACCGTTAGGCGTGCCGACCGCAGGGGTGGCCGAGCGGGAGGAGCTGACCGTGAGGGTGGCCGAGTGGGAGGGGTCGACCGTTAGGCATGCCGACCGCAGGGGTGGTCGAGCGGGAGGGGTCGACCGTTAGGCGTGCCGACCAGGACGGCGCGGGGCTCAAAAAAAGGAGGGGCGTGCCATGTGATGATGTGAAATGGAAAGGACAGGGCAAGGGGAGGGGACAGTGCATCGTGGCCATACACGTGGCAATATCGTGGGGGAAGTGAAGCGTTGGAGCAGAAATGAAACGATAGGTCACGAGAGGGGTTTTGAAAAGACGGTTTTGGCGGTTGATTTGAAAGGTTTTTAAACGGGCAAAAATTAATGTGGATCCATGGAATACGGGTAAGCCGTGGGTTTTTGGCATAATTCGTTTCACCTACCTTTTTACAAAAACTCAAAATACCCAAGAGTTAATTCCTTCATTGCGTACGACACACCTGTGCAAAATTTTCTCAACTTCTTTACTCCTGCGTCAGAAGTGATTCGTAAGCAAACCCTAGAAATGGCACAAGAAGAAGTGGTGAATGTGAGGGTGGACCCTCTGGGAGACGATGATGCAGAGGAGCTAGCAGCGCGATATAGGACAGAGACACGAATGGTGGGGGTGGGGGAACCGGTGGGACAATCCCAGGCGGTGGCCCTGATATTGACTCCAAGGCCAATAAGCCAGGTAGAGCCGGATCAGTGGCACATGAAGGCTGACAAATCCACAATTACTACGGCGGATTTGGAGGCTATCAGGGAAAAATACCAGATTCCGGCTGAGGTGGAGTTACTGCTGCCAACATCAAGGGAAAGGCCGTCTGATGCCAGGCCAGGGGAGTTTTCCCTTTACGAGGAGGCGCTAAAAGGTGGACTGAGGTTGCCACTGCCCCAAGTGGTGGTTGACGTACTGAACCGTCTGGAGGTAGCGCCGGGGCAATTGATGCCCAATGCATGGAAGATTCTGCTGGCCTGTGCTAGCGCGTGGCCCAAGGCGAATGGAGGAGAAGCCATGGCGGTAGACGAGTTCTTTTCCTATTATAAGGCGTCGGGGCAGCAAGAGACGTGGGTCACCCTACAGGCAGTGATGGGGAGGGGATTGGTGGCGGGGCTGCCGACATCAATCAAGGGGTGCGCGGCCACGGTGGTTCTACGTGTCTGCCAATGGGGGATTGAGAGTGCGCACCGTCTGGAAGGTGCCCATTAGGTCGATGGAGTCAAGATTGGGGGCAGCGGCGGAAGAGAGGGTGAAGAAGGTGAAGGAGTGGAGGGAGAGAGAGAAGGCCAAATAGGACGAGCTTGTTCAACCGTCCGCATTGTTTGAGGCAGGGTTAGGACTGCAGCCGAGGGGTGGGGACCTCGACCGAGCAGAATTGGAGGCGAGAAGAGAAGTGCAGGAAGTAGAGGATCATGCCATACTTGCCAAAGCCACGAAATTGAAGGAAACGCGAGGAGACCGATCGCCTCAACCGATCGCGCGGGAAAGGATCCAACCGCGCCCAAGGCCGCTAGGGGGGAAGGACTTAAGCAGTTTTGAGCCACGACCGCCCCCAGTAGATCCTGTAAAAGAACAGGCCAGAAAGGAGGGAAAGGCTCTGAAGAAGAAGAAGAAAAAGAAAAGGAGTGCCCCAGAGGGAGCTGCAGATGAGTCTGGGGCCAAGAGGGCTAAGGTGGCCCCAACTGAGGTGGAGGCCCCTGTGGCCAAGGATACCCCAGAGGTGGTGGGGGTCACCCCCACACTGGAGGCTGTGGAGACTGCCCCAACGATTCAAGTAGGAGTTGGGATGATTGAGGCTGAGCCGAGCGGGAGGGAGTAGACCCAAAAGGGCCCTGCCGCCCAGGAAGGAGGGGTCCGTCTGGCCACGGCAATCTATCACGCTCGCGCGGTAGCTGGAAGGTTGGAGGGAGAAGAAGGCCTAGCTAGGGCGGGGGCATATCGCTTGGTGAAGATTGTGGAGGAGACAGCCCTGTGCTCGGCATCGGGATTCAATGAGGCTGACCTGCTGAGGGGGTTATGCTCCGCCCAAATGGAGGTAACCACCTTGGCAGGGGCCCTTCTAAGGAAAGCAAGGGCTGCCAAGTTAAAGGTTGAAGAGGTCAAGGCCCAGTTGGCCAAGTTAAAGAAGGAGAGTGCCGACTGGAAGACTGCCCATTCTGAGCTGCAAGCAGTCAAGTTGGAGCTGGAGGACACACGCCGTAAGGTCGTGTCGCTCGAGTTCCAACTGGCTGGTGAACAGAAAAAGTTGGAGGAGTCTGAAAGAGCCTGCGCCGTTGCGATCGAGCGGTATGAAGAGGCCATGAGTAGCAATGAAGAGCTGGTCAGGCAAAAAGATGAGGCAGATGTCAGAATTGGAGATCTGTTGAAGGAGTTGGAGGAGGAGCGCGTCAAAGCAGAGGAGGAGAATGGGAGGTTGGTGAGGGAGTTGGAAACAGAGAAGGCGAAGGCGATGGCAAAGATGGAGAGTCTGAGGAAGGGAGTGGAAGAGGAAAGGGCGACGGCGGTTGCTGAAAGGGGGGCCCTGCAGAGAGAGCTGGGCGAGGAGAGGGCGAAGGCGGCTTCTGAGAGGGCGGCCTACCCCGATCTGTGCGTCGCAGCAGTGGAGCAATATAAAGGGTCGTCCGAGTTTCAGATGGCGGTAGATGCCGCAGTCGCCAGGAGTCTGGCTGGTCAAGAGTCTGGGGGGGTGGGCCCATCAAGGACGACTACTGGAGGTAGGACGGAGGCAGAAGTTATTGAGAGCTTCCAGTAGTCAGACTTCTACAAGCACGAAATGGCTGAGTTCTGGGACAGCGGTTGGAAGATGTTCAAACGCAGAGCTGAAGAGCTGTTCCCAGACTTGGACCTGAGTAGTGTAACGACTGGTGAAGATGATGTGGCCCAGACCCCCCTAGACGAGGGCATTGAAGAAGAAGAGCTTGTATCCAGCGAGGAGGAATAACCAAGATAGAATAAGAGCCCCCCTCTTTGTGTTTGTTTTTGTTTTGTTTTTTGTTTTTTTGTAATGAACTTGTGTACACATTGTAAATGAATAAAATTTCGTTTATGTTGTCAATTGACTTGTGTTGGCCTGTACTGGCTAAAATGTATGATGTCTTGTTATAAAAACTGGTCATAAAAATTGTGCAATAAAAATTTGTATGAAAACTAAAAAGTATTAAGTTAAAAGTTTCTCCCTGCAGAGTGAGATTGGGTTTGTATGAAATTTGAAAGGATGATAGTGGTTTATTGAAAAATTGGATTATGAAATTGTAGAACATAATATTCGAATGGGGTTAGTACTTCCAGTTTAATAAAGACGAATGAAGAATCCATGGATGAGGACAGAGAAGTAGGTTGCAAATCGTGACTAAACAGCCAATTGTAAACTTGTAGAGAAGAGATTGGAGAAACAAACTGGGTGGGGTGGGAGATAATCTGATTAGCAAGTGGAATACGTGAGAGCATCTTTGGAATCTAACTAAGTAAAAACGTGGTTCTGGAATTGTGAATAAGCTTCAAAACGTGACTAAGTGTTAAAAATGTGGTCCTGCTTGGCTTTGAAGTGCTCAGTCTGGCTGAGGCTTCGAGTGCTCGGTCTGGCCGAGGCTTTGGAGTGCTCGGTCTGGTTGAGGCTTTGAAGTGCTCAGTCTGGCTGAGGCTTTGAAGTGCTCAGTCTGGTTGAGGCTTTGAAGTGCTCAGTCTGGTTGAGGCTTTGAAGTGCTCAGACTGGCTGAGGCTTTGAAGTGCTCAGTCTGGCTGAGGCTTTGAAGTGTCCAGTCTGGCCGAGGCTTTGAAGTGCTCAGTCTGGCTGAGGCTTTGAAGTGCTCGGTCTGGCCGAGGCTTTGAAGTGCTCAGTCTGGCTGAGGCTTTGAAGTGCTCGGTCTGGCCGAGGCTTTGAAGTGCTCAGTCTGGCTGAGGCTTTGAAGTGCTCGGTCTGGCCGAGGCTTTGAAGTGCTCAGTCTGGCTGAGGCTTTGAAGTGCTCGGTCTGGCCGAGGCTTTGAAGTGCTCAGTCTGGCTGAGGCTTTGAAGTGCTCGGTCTGGCCGAGGCTTTGAAGTGCTCAGTCTGGCTGAGGCTTTGAAGTGCTCGGTCTGGCCGAGGCTTTGAAGTGCTCAGTCTGGCTGAGGCTTTGAAGTGCTCGGTCTGGCCGAGGCTTTGAAGTGCTCAGTCTGGCTGAGGCTTTGAAGTGCTCGGTCTGGCCGAGGCTTTGAAGTGCTCAGTCTGGCTGAGGCTTTGAAGTGCTCGGTCTGGCCGAGGCTTTGAAGTGCTCAGTCTGGCTGAGGCTTTGAAGTGCTCGGTCTGGCCGAGGCTTTGAAGTGCTCAGTCTGGCTGAGGCTTTGAAGTGCTCGGTCTGGCCGAGGCTTTGAAGTGCTCAGTCTGGCTGAGGCTTTGAAGTGCTCGGTCTGGCCGAGGCTTTGAAGTGCTCAGTCTGGCTGAGGCTTTGAAGTGCTCGGTCTGGCCGAGGCTTTGAAGTGCTCAGTCTGGCTGAGGCTTTGAAGTGCTCGGTCTGGCCGAGGCTTTGAAGTGCTCAGTCTGGCTGAGGCTTTGAAGTGCTCGGTCTGGCCGAGGCTTTGAAGTGCTCAGTCTGGCTGAGGCTTTGAAGTGCTCGGTCTGGCCGAGGCTTTGAAGTGCTCAGTCTGGCTGAGGCTTTGAAGTGCTCAATTGCTGTCGGTGACAATGTTATGGGAGCTCTGCGCGCGGCATCTGGGTATAGTGAGGCCGACCTGCTGAGGGGGTTATGCTC